GACAACACGCCTGTCTTTGCTCTGGCTGTGAGTTTCTGCAATGGGCTTTGGCTCCTTCCCAGGTCACCTCTCCAGTGGGTCTCCTTCCTCCCCAACACTGCATCTCCCTGCCTCAGGCACTGGGCTGGGAATGTAGGTTAGGGCCAGGTTCAGGGGCACCAGGCCAGGGGCTCCCCCTGCATCTTCCCTGGGGTCTCCCCCCTATGCTCAGGCCCTGCCACATGGACATCTGGGCACTGAGAGCTGGTCCAGGTGGTTTATCTTTTGCAGGCAACCATCGTGGTTTGGGAGATTCTCCAGATGTCCCGGTGCCCAGAGCAATTGCAAGACCATTCCCCCCATCTCCTCGTGGATCTGCTCTTCCAAATTTTCACCAGCACAGAGCAGATGCCAGAGGAGGTTGATGCATTCTGGAAGGGATACTGGGAGCAACATGGCCTTCCCACAGACTCCAAGAGGTGCTCCATCCCAGTCCTCCTGTCCCTTTCATGCCCTCAGGACTGGGTCAGGGCTCTAAGCATGACCCAGGCTTCGCTCTCCACACAGATTTGCAGTGCTGACCATAAAGGCCCTGCTTTGCCATCTGGAGTGTGAGGATGTGGTGGTTTCCATGGAACGCAAGCGTGGCTGGGACACGCTCCTCAGGCCTGACACCCACCACTACGCAGTGGGTCTGCTGGCCAGGTGAGACCCCCTAGTCCCCGCTGCCCCTGTCATTTCTGCCTGTGCATGGGGCACCCCCACAGTGCCCGTGGTCATGGGCCAGAGGACCCTGTCAGCGAGGGATGGCTGAGCAGAGTGGAAAAGGCTGGGAGAGGCAGGGGCACAGGAGGAGCTGCTGCCCAAAGTGCACGTGTCCCCTCCAGGGGAAAGACCAGGCCTGTGTGAGTGAGCCCCGACAGAGGTTTGCCCACCCAGCTCAGGGTTGACGGTGCCTGTTTCCCCCTGCCAGGGAGATGCGCCGTGCCTCGAGCCCCTTGAATTCCTGGATTGCCCCCTGTCTGCTGGAGCTGCTGAGCAGGGAGAAGCCCCACTGGGAGCTTCCCGCCATGGCCTTCCTTGTGGAGGTGAGCCTGCTGGCGAGCGCTGCCTGGCCGAGCTGCCTCCACCTCTCAGCCCTCTCGCAGCTGCAGCTGCCCGGGACGGTGCCGTGCCCTGTGCTGCTGCCTGGGCACAGCCCTGTGCGGGTCCGGGCTCCTGCCGGCCGGGTACCCCGTCACTGCTGCGTGCCTTTCAGGTCCTCGACTGCCTGGACATGACCGAATGGAGTGAGAGCTTCCTGGAGATCCTTGCAAGGCACCTCCAGAGCGAGTGCCCAGAGAGGCGTCGCCTGGCACTCAGAGGCCTCGTGGTGCTCAGCAAGGATCCTGTGATGGTGAGGAGGGGGCAGTTGGCTGAAGCCATGCTGGAATCCTGGGGCTGGGAAACTCAGTCACTTTGGGAGCTGTGGCAGCTGCTCCCAGCTCTGCTGCCTCCCTGTTCAGCTGCCCCAGTCCCTCAGGACAGGCCTTTGGTCTCCAGGCCCCACAGCAGCACCTGGGGCTGCCCTGCCCGAGCGGGGTTGGCTCTGCAGCCTTTCCTGGCTTCACAGCACAGCCTTGTGTCCCTCACAGGCTGACGACGTGTGGACCCTGACAGAAAGCCTGATGGACATTCTGTGGGATGAAGACAGAGAGCTGATTGGGATGGCCCTCTCTATAATCATCAATGAAGTTCAGAACAGAGCCATCCTAATCTCCACCCCCACTGCCCTGCAGCTGGCTGAGGTGGCCCCGACACTCTTTGGCTACGTAAGTCTCTGTGCCCCCCACCACAGGCACTGGGTGCTGTTGGGAAACTGTGGCCTGTGCATTTGCAGACCTGTGCCCCAGGTGAGCCTGGAGCAGCCAGTTCTCAGGTCTTTTCTTCTTCCTTTCCATCAGGACAACATCTGCGTGCAACTGTTCTCCATTCACCTCTTCCGAAAGGTGATGGAGCTGGGAGTGGACGAGGGAAAACAAGAGCTGAAGGCACACGTGATCCAGAGCCTGCTGCCACTTTTCTTCTGCTGGCACGATGAGAACCAGCATGTGGCAGAAGTGAGTACTTGTGGGCTCTGGGGTCACAACAGGAGGGGGCTGG